TTTTGGCCATTATCAAAATGGTGTAGGGGTCTTCACCAGATAAATGAGATATGAACTATTCTCTAAATAATCACCTCTAGCCCTCACCCACAAATTTATAACTAAAAAATGTCAAACCTTTCCAATTAGCACTAAAAATAATATGCTTACAGTTGTTTTTAGATAACTCTTTCCTAGAGATTGTGATGCTAGTACCTTTAGTAGCATCTGAGTAATACGCAACCAAGAAAATAACAATCCCTACGTATGGATAAAATCTGTCTATGGAAGTATTGGCAGACTAAGAAACAATGTCACGGCTAAGCACAGAGTGTGCCTTGGGAACCACAAGGGAGCAGAAATCCGTTTCATACAAACCTAGGCCTTGGAGGCAACAGCAACTTTCCCTTGATTTTTCAGTCTACTTTTGATTTCATTCATTCTTTCAACTGAAAACATCCTGTCTCTGAAAGAATTTATTCTAATGTAAAACATTAAGTTAACATGATGCAGAATGAACGAAGAAGTAGTCTTCAATAATTAAACAGCCTACATATTTAATGACATGTCGTGCTTGCACTAGGAGTCCTGGCGAACAGCTGCAGACTACTTTGAAGGCAACTTAAAAGTGCAGTGATGACAAGGGATCGCAAATCGCCGTATTAGGAATTAGAGAGTTTTGTCTCATTAATATGCAAACAGATTTTTAAAAAGTGTCGAGTAATACAAGCTGTTGACAAAAACTAGAAATAGCATTTTCTTAGTCCACATAAGCATGGGATGGCAAAGAAGGTATAGAATGATACGGAGATTCCCTAACAAATAGGCTAACTCGAGAAAAGGAGAGCCACATCTTCACTGCTAAGTTCTGCGGTGCACGGAGAAACATTTATGTGTTTGCTTTTGGATGGAGCCCAGTGTGCATCCACCAATGTTACAGCTGACACAAGATCTGGTACGTGTCAGAACGGCTGGATTTATTGACAGTTTCATACCTTGATTTGATAATTACACATTGAATACATGCATCAAACTATCACATGTAGGCTTAAATATGTAGAGCTATAATAAATCTATAAAGAAAGGAAAAAATACATACATCGATATAATTTCCATTGATATAGTCTGAGTTAATGTCTCCTTCTATTGTCTGCAGCCTCACCCGGGAATGATCATCTGCAAAGGAAAATGAAAAGAAAACAATTAACAAAAGCAATCTGTTAGGCTGCTGCGAGCCCCAGAATGAAGGCACATTACCGAGAGATCACCCACATACACGCTGCTTTAAAGATAAACAAAGAATTAAACACGACACACCTTCTACTTCCTATTTTGCTATTGAGACTGGGAAGGATTTATAATTCTTTACATTTTACACTAAATCTCATTAACTTATTCTTTGATCATTGACAGAAGTAAAGCAATGCCAAAGGTTTAAGACTTTCACATACAGTCCCGTGAACCACAACAGGACTATTTCTTGGATTGGAAGTTTGAGCAACTTCACTACATCGCATACAAACCCTGAGATGCTGAAAGCTGCCTATGACGCTCACCTTGACAAATGATGGCTATAAATCCATGGCCTGGCCTTCCGGGATGTGCAGACCTAATCCTAACCTCGGTCATCGTCTGGAATGTCCCTAAGCTCTCCCTCTATACCTGAGGGTGTCAGTAGGCAAGACCAAGCTGTCACCATCAGGTGTGTGATCCCAGGCTAGGCAATGACGCCACCAAGCTGCAGCCGCCTCATCTGGAGAAGGGCAGAGTTTTCCTGTTTTGATCACTGCTCTACCCCCGGTCTCCAGATCAGTGCCTGGAGCACAGTGGGTTCCCCTCAAATAATTTTTTGAATAAATGAAAAGTGAACTTTTTGGTTTTTGAAAAAATATGTCTTCTAAAAATTATTTTCCTAAACTGATATTCCTTTTAGTAGAGGAACCTTTCCTTCCAATGAAAGCACATACCGAAACCCCGTATTTAGAACAGGTAAAAGCTGGTTATCCAGAAAAGGAGGCAGAGAAGAGGCCTGATAGGATATTTTGCAAAACTTCACTTCCAGTGATGCTGGAGCAGCAGAGAGCCTGCTTCTGAGCGGCCGTGGCTTTCTTCTGATGCTAGCTTTATGCAGCATTTCATTTGGGTTAGCGGGTGAGAAACGAAGCCCACGGCTTGAGGTAGGAGCCAGGAGAGCTACAGACAGAGCGTTTTATCCCCACTCACTGGACCCAGTGAACCCTCTCCTTGGTTTGAAATGCTAACGGGTGAACGTCAAAATTTCACGCTGGTTCCTGAAGTTCGACCTCCCATTTGGTAAACGTTCTGTTTGTTAATAGGGGAGGCAGAAGGAAATCCGTGTCGATGTTTGAACCTTCCTTCCTTGATGGGGCTTTTCACTCCATGACAGGTCGTCATATTACTTCCCATCGGTGCCTCACGATTAGTCAGGGCACAATAAATTTATCTGCAATGTGGTGACAGACTGGGCCAGACAAGGAGAAAAACCTAGAGAAGTTGTGTCTTCCTGCTCTGCTCGAAGGAGAATATGGGAGAGGGGTTACGTGTCTGCATTCTGGGTCAGGTATGTGGGTTAGAATCCTCTGCTTGTGACCTGGGGCAAATTACTTAATCTTTCTCAGCTTCAGTTTCCTTGTCTGTAGAATGGAGATGAACACTGCCCACTCTCATGAGATTATTCTGAGCATTAAAACAGTATACATAAAGGGCAGGCACGGTGGCTCACGCCTGTAATCCCAGCACTTTGGGAGGCCAAGGCAGGAGGATCACTTGAGCCTAGGAGTTGAAGGCCAGCCTGGGCAACATAGCAAGACCTGTCTCTAGAAAAAACTAAAAAATTAGCCAGGTGTGGTTGTGCATGCCTATAATCCTAGCTACTTGGGAAACTGAGACAGGGGGATTACTTGAGCTCAGGGGTTGGAGGCTGCAGTGAGTTATGATTGTACCACTGCACTCCAGTCTGGGCAACAGAGCAAGAACCTGTCGCAAAAAATCAAAAACAAACAAAAAAATAAAATAACACACATAAAGAGATTAGAAAAAATCGTGGTATATAGTAAGTGGCCGATAAATGTCGGTTATTGTTATCATGTGCTATGTAATGGACACCCACATTTTTCTTCTGTTCTTATAGCTGATGTCCAAATGGATATTAGCAACTCCAGAAATGGAGCCACCTGCACTCAGAGTGTTTCCTCATGGTGAGCCACTTTAAGAACCAGTTTCCTAGGACACATTTTGCTTAAACCAGTGGCTCGCTATAAATATTTTGCTCATGTGGGTGTTGTGGGGAGGGAAGTTGCTGGGTATGTGCGCACTATTGTGACTTCCGTATTTGCTGGAGAGCAGTGCCCGCACACACTGTCAGGGAGTGGAGTGCGAGCAATTTAGCAGGGAGAGCTGTACACGCTTCCTGAGGGAAAGACGCTCCCCTGGAACTGCGTCAGGGCTGCTCTGCACACATCAGGCTCTCGGTCAGCTCCTCCGAGGGGGTCGGGCTCACCTTCCTGCGCACCTGGACTGAGTGTTTCAAAAGGCAGCCAACCACGACAGAGCCTTGCAGCCCGCCGTAAGGATATATTGTACCCCTTGTCAGAATCCCTCCTATTTCATACTTTATTTAAAACCTCGGGATGAACGCTGCCCATGCTCTGTGATTTACCACCCTTGGGCTTCTCAGGTTGTTCCGGAATGTTCTCTCTAGGAATCTCGGTCTCTGACAAGACTAAATTCCCATCCCCTACATACAAAGCATTTGAAATGAAGAGTTCCCTCATCATCTCCTACAGTTCAGTTTACTCCTACCCCAAAATTTAACTTGGCTGCTACATCTCCGAATCTAATTGCTCTCGCTCTGCTCGCGATGGAGAAACCCGTAGCACACAGCCACAGCATGTTTCCTAAGCAAGACGAGATTGTTTTTGTCTTTATATGCACAATAGTATCTTTTCTTCTTTTAAAACATCGATTCAACTAGATTATAATGTCTTATGGTAAAAGACCACATCGTATATATTCCGACTATCCCTGAGAGCACCTTTGCCAGGGCCACAGCGCCCACCGGGGCTCCGTTAGCAGCACCGTCGGCAGTGCCATGTGCGTGGCCCTGCCCAGCACATAGCGAGCCAAAGATGTCTAACTCTTCCCCATGCTAACGAACAGGCGGTGGGCCAAGGGCATCCGAGATGCCTGGACTGTGTCCATAATACCTTTTTAATTTCAGTTTTAACACAGGCTTGCCTAATGTTGTCAGAGCAGTGAACTGTTTCATTCTCCAGAAATCTCGCTTACCTATCCATTCCTGCCCATTTCTAATTGTCCAAATTTTGCCTGTTTTTCAAGGTCCAACTCAAATGGCCCCTCTTCAATAAGGTCTTATTTACTGAATAATTTTTTGAGTGCTGGCTATTTGCTACACACCACACTAAGTGTTGGGCATATGGTGGGATCGAGTTAGACACAAGGTCCTTGAGTTCAGGGGACTTAAGGTAATGGAAAAGACATCAAACAGTAATTTCATAGTAACGATTTAAATACAGTTTTGGTAAGTGCTAAGTTGGAAAGGACGGAGAGCTACAGGAGTCCACAGCACGGGACCTGACCTGCTCCGAAGAGCCTGCAAACAGCTCCCTAATAAAGGGACATTTAGGCTGAAACTATGCAGGTAGTTACTAAATTCCAGGTCCAGGAAACAGCATGTGGTCAGGCCATGAGGTGGGAAGGATCTATTATGTTCTGGAAACCAAAAGAAGGGTGGTGTGGGGGACACTCTGTCTGATGTTGGGGAGAAGAGTGGTGGGAAATGCGGACAGGAGGGAAGGGCCAGGTCATTAGGACTTTTGTCCTGAGCACAATGGGATGCCACAGATCTATGCGGGATGCCACGGAAGCCACGTGGAGCATTTGGAACAGGGAAGGGGCTCGCTGCCTTTTATCAGACCCCTCCTACTGCTGTTGAGGGGCTGGAAGGGGTCCCATGGGTGTGGAGAGACGGCAGGGGGCCTGCAGCTGCAGTCCTGGGGACAGCCGATGGCAGCGCCGTGTAGGGAGGGCCAGTGGGCAGCTCTGAGGGTGTTTAGGAGGTAGGACTGACTATAGTAACAGCTCATGTCACGTGAGAAGAGGTGTCACGAACGACTTCTAGGACTCTGACGTGGGACACGGTGGGGGATGGGGCCGTGGAGCACAGCGTGGGGCGTATTTAACCTGAGGTGTCTGCCACTGAGACACAGAGTGGGGGCCGGGTGTGTGTTTTCCTTCCTTAAACCTCAAAAGTTCCTGGATTTTGCTTCTTGCTACTCTTACATACAGTTATCTGTGTAATGTCTTCTTTTTCCTGGGATCAAAACTACTTAGACTAGGAGCTATGTCTGACACACATCTTTACCTCTGTGCGTCTTCTAGGGAGCAGATCAACATATATTTGCTATTTTTATGAGTAAGTGAGAAAAGCCCAGCTCACGATGATGCTTCAGAGCGTCTGGAGCCAGTGTGCTTGTTTGGGGAACAGCAGAGCAGGGTCCGACTGGAAACACTAAGCAGCTAATCTTTGGGGAAGAGACGTTTGAGCTAGTTTTAAAGAAGAAACAGGGAAGAGGTTTGGAAACAGGCTGAATACTCTTCATCTCCTACGTCCGAATCCCCTGGTATCTACAAACAAATTTTTTTTCCTCTCCCTCTTGTCGTGTCACAGAGAGGTTAAGCTCCCAGGCCCCGGAGCCAGAATCCCTGTTCGAATCCAGGTTCTGTCACTCTCTGGTTGTGCAATCTTGGACAAGCTACTTAACATCTCTGTGCCTCAGTTTCCCCAACTATAAAATCAGAATAATAACAGTGCCTACATTATGAAGTTTTGTGAGGATTAGGTGAGTTAACATAAGGAATACATTAGTTAGTGTCTAGTACGTAATCAGAAATAGGAAAAAAGTTAGCTATGACTTGTTTCATTACTGCCAAGGACTTGATTCAAGACCTGATAATTTTTCATCTCCACTACTTCATTTTTGCCTCTACATTCCTCTCTCTCTAATGAATCCATGCTGAAGGCTACTTTTCTACAACAGATTTTTTTTCCTTCTATCACCACCTTGTTTAAACCATTCAATGATATAAACAGGAAACTGATCAACAGTGGTCATATAAATAAATCTGATATAATC